TTTTTTTAGGCAGAGTCCTCTGTCACCCAGACTGGAATACAGTGGCATGATCACGGCCCAGGAAGCCTCCGCCTCCCAGGTTCAAGTGATTCTCCTGCCTCACCCTCCCGAGTAGCTGGGATTACAGGCACCTGCCATCATGCCTGGCTATTTTTTGTAGTTTTACTAGAGACAGGGTTTCACCATGTTGGCCAGGATGGTCTTAAACTCCTGACCTCAAGTGATCCTCCTGCCTGGCCTCCCAAAGTGCTGGGATTACAGGCATGAGCCCCCGCGCCTGCTTCCTGACCCTTTTTAAGGCTCCCATCCCACCTCCATCTCCACCATGGGCTGCATCTGACCTCCCAAACCCAGATTTGCAGGGGCTGTCCCTGTGGGGTGACATGCCATGTGGTGAGCACTAAAGGCTCGCCAGAGTCTCCAGGGCGGGCCAGGCATGTTGGCAAACACCTGTAATCCCAGCACTTTGGGAGGCCGAGACAGGAGCATCACTTGAGGCCAGGAGTTCGAGACCAGCCTGGGCAACATGTTGAAACCCCGTCTCTACTAAAAATACAAAAATTAGCCGGGTGTGGTGGTGGGTGCCTGTAGTCCCTGCTACTTGGGAGGCTGAGGCAGCAGAATCGCTTGAACCCCGGAGGCGGAGGTTGCAGAGAGCCGAGATCACGCCACTGCACTCCAGCCTGGGCAACAGAGCAAGACTCCATCTCAAGAAAAAAAAAAGAAAGAACTTAGGGTACAGTGATGTGGCAGCTGCCAGCAGGCCATGGGGACCCCGAAAAGGGGGATCAGGAGAGTGAGGGGGTTGGGGAGGGTTTCCCGGAGTAAGGAAGGCCCTGTTTGGGCCTTAGGGGAAGATGGGACTTTGAGAGGCAGAGAGGAGAGTGGGTTGTGTTTGTGGGGGTGAACGGCAGGGGTTTGGGGGTCCCTGGATGTCAGAGGTGTGCTTCTGGAGCTCTGAGAGGTACAGAATGGTCAGGTGATGCTGGAAAGGTGGAGACAGTGGAAGTTGCAGCAGGAAAATGCGGTGAGTGTGGCTCCTTTGGACACCCGGCGGAGACGTCATTGGGTTTCTGGCCCCGCACTGGGTGCTTTATGTGGGTGCCTTTCACATGGATTCGGGAGGTCTTGCTGGGGCCTGGTGGTTCTAGGAACTAGGGTCACAGCAGAGTGCAGACGGAGGTGTCTCATTTAGTCCTGGTACCTAGGAGGTAGGCGCTAGAGGCCGCCTTACAGAGGGGGAAACTGAGGCTCGATGTGAGGGGCGTATGAATACTCTGTGTCCCGGGGTAGCAGGTGGCCCTGGCCCCAGCCCTCAGGGATGGACCTGCCAGCCCCCTGCCAGGCATTGGCACCTAAGCCAGGTATCCGCCTGGAGAACCAGCTCCACACTCACTCATGCCGCTGGTCATACTGGGCTGGGAACCTGAGCAGGCTCCCGGGAGTCTCCAAGGGCTGACAGAGGTCACCGAGTGCCCCTCCCGCGCCACAGTGGGCTTGCCTCAAACACGCCCTCGCACAGTCCCCGAAGCCCAGCATGGGCCAGCACCGGCAGTTCCAAGATGAATCAGAGCGGAAGCTCAGGTCTGCTGGGGGAGGCAGAGGCGTCAGCAGGCCCCTTCATCTGGAGGCAGGCGTCCCAGCGCATGTGGAGGGGTGGCAGATAGTCTGCAGAGAGGCGGGTGGCTGGGGACAGTGCTCAGGAATCAGGATCCCGGGCAGCATGTGGGCTGTGGGAAAGCGCCGTCTTGTTCAAGTCCCCGTACCCGCCCGACTAGCCGTGGGAATCTGAGCCCTCACTTCCTTACCGCTAAGATGGACAAGGATACCTGCCTCACCAGGTGATCTGAGTAAGGAAGAAGATGGGCCGTGCTAGGTGAGCTGCGAGGACCGTTTTCCCCTAATTGCCCCTTTTGTCTTTTTTTTTTTTTTTTTTTTCTGAGACAGAGTTACACTCTTGTTGCCCAGGTTGGAGTGCAATGGCACCATCTCAGCTCACTGCAGCCTCTGCCTCCCAGGTTCAAGTGATTCTCCTGCCTTAGCCTCCCAAGTAGCTGAGATTACAGGCGTGTCACAGCATCCGGCTAATTTTTGTATTTTTAATAGAGATGAGGTTTCACCATGTTGGCCAGGCTGGTCTCGAACTCCTGGCCAGCCTCAAGTGATCCACCCCGCTTGACCTCTCAAAGTGCTGGGATCACAGGCACGAGCCTCCGTGCCTGGCCGCCTTCCTTTCTCTTTTGTCCTCTTCTGCAAGTACAGAATGGACCTTAGCCTGCAAATTCAGAAGTGCGAGACATATATTTTTATTTTTCTAAAATCGAACTGGATTCCTGCCAAAAGCCCCCAACGCACAGAAACTTTATCTGAGTGCGTTTCAGATCTCGTTTCCCTTGGGTTTGCACCTTCCATGAGGCACCCCCGGTAGCCACTTCCACACCACAGAGAGACCGAGCATGAAAGAAGGCCTGACAGTGGGATCTCGTGCTGGGATGGGGGAGCAGAAACCCGGGAGTGGAGAGATGGCCGTGGTGCCCAGTAGGGGATTCCCAGAGAGGGTGAGGCTTCAGGAAGGCTCCAGGAGGACAAACTCTGTTAAGTATGGCTCCAAACCAGGAACGGTCATTCGCCCCTGTAATCCCAGCACTTTGGGAGGCCAAGGTAGGAGGATCGCTTGAGGCCAAGAGTTTGAGGCCAGCCTGGGCAACACAACAAAACCCCGTCTCTGCGAAAAAACTAAAAATTAGCCAGGTGTGATGGTGCACACCTGTGGTCTCAGCTACTCGGGAGGCCAAAGGGGGGGGACGGCAGGATGGCCAGAGCCCGGGAGGTAGAGGTCGAGGTGAGCTGAGACTGTGCAGCTGCCCCAGCCTGGGCGACAGAGCATAACAGCATCTGAAAAAAAAAAAAAAAAAGAATGGCTCTGAGATTTTTTTAGGTCACTTATTGAAGGTTCCCTTAGAAGCCTTCCCTGACGGAACCATCCCAAGAAGGTAAAAATTCTGAAAGAGATTGTGCTTTTTTTATTATTGGGTTTTTTTGTTTTTGTTTTTGTTTTTTGTTTTCTTGTTTTTTCATTTTGAAATGAGTTTCGCTTCTTGTCACCCAGGCTGGAGTGCAGCGGCACAATCTCGACTCACTGCAACCTCCGTCTCCCAGGTTCAAGCGATTCTCCTGCCTCAGCCTCCCCCGAGGCTGGGATTACAGGCGTGCACCATTGACACCCAACTAATTTTTGTATTTTTTGTAGAGATGGGGTTTCACCATGTTGACCAGGCTGGTCTCAAACTTCTAACCTCAGGTGATCCACCCGCCTTGGTCTCCCAAATTGCTGTGATTATAGGCGTGAGCCACTGCGCCTGGTTGAGATTATGCTTTTTTGAAGATGGATCAGTCATTAAGTTGTGAGAACCCAACTGCACCCTGGAGCTGTGGGCCCCTGCAGTGCGGGGTGAGAGGACAGCCACTCCTGGGCTGGTTTTTTTCTGGGTCAAAAGAGATGACATGGTGGGTCACTCCTGTAATCCCAGCACTTTGAGAGGCCAAGGCAGGTGGATTGCCTGAAGGTGGGAGTTCGAGACCAGCCTGACCAACATAGAGAAACCCTGTCTCTACTAAAAATACAAAATTAGCCAGGTGTGGTGGTGCATGCCTGTAATCCCAACTACTTGGGAGGCTGAGGCAGGAGAATCACTTAAACCCGGGAGGCGGAGGTTGCAGTGAGCCAAGATTGTGCCACTGCACTCCAGCCTGGGTAACAAGAGCAAAACCCCATCTAAAAATAGAGAGAGAGAAAGAGAGAGAGAGAAGCCCAGAATGTCTTTGATGTTTTCCCAACTGGGGACATCACATCTGTGCTCAGTGCCTCAGTTTCCCCACTAATATCTAGAGGTCCTGCCTGCTCTAACATGCTGAGTGGCAGGCAGGCATCTTGCTGGAGAGGAAGGTATACTTGGACTTGGACCAAGCTGCAGAGGGCAGTGGGTGAATTTCAGGTCTCAGGTCAAGGGAGTTGTGGGCCGGGGATTTCTGGGGGCCAGGGGTGCTGGAAGGCACCAGGCTTAACTGGAAAGGACCTGGTGGGGGGTCTAGGGTTTCAAGGGATGGGGGGCCGGGTCCCCAAACTTGTACCAGAAGGAACTCCAGCCCTGCCTGCAAGGGGCTAAGACAACCCACGCTCGACCCTGGAGGCTGAGCGCCATGGGGAGCTCTGTACTGCCCAGCCAGGCCACGCCCCTGCCTGCAGCAGCACTGAGTTAAATTAGGGAGACTCAGCCGGCTGCAGTGGATCACTTGAGGTCAGGAGTTCAAGACCAGCCTGGGCAACATGGTAAAACTCTGTCGCTACTAAAAATACAAAAATTAGCCAGGTGTGGTGGCAGGTGCCTGTAATCCCAGATGCTCCAGAGACTGAGGCAGGAAAATCACTTGAACCCGGGAGGCGGAGGTTGCAGTGAGCCAAGATCGTGCCATTGCACTCCAGCCTGGGTGACAGAGCACAACTTTGTCTGAAAAAAAAAAAAAAAAGGAAACCCAGGACAGCAAAATGGGGCTGTTCAAGATATGCTGGGAAGAAGTGGTGGGGACTAAGGCAGGAGAGACCCTTTATCCATGTGGCCGCTGTAACA